TGAAAAGATGAAATGTCTTGAGTCAATAATTGTTATGGCAAGCATAAATAAGTTCAGGAGTAAACATTTGCTTAACAAGTCACAAGTTGCATGGACTCACAGACTGTGTGCAATAATAGTGTTTAACATGATTTTTGAATGACTACCTCATCTCTGTACCCCACACATACAGATAATTGTAAGGTCCCTCAGTCGAGCAGTTCAACCACAAAGACCAGGGAGGTTTTCCAACGCCTCGCAAAGGGCACCTATTGGTAAATACTGTAGGTACAAATAAAACAAAGCAGACTTTAAATATCCCTTTGGGTATGGTGAAGTTATTAAATACACTTTGGATGGTGTATCAAAACACCAAGTCACTGCAAAAATACAAACTGCTTAGGGATTTCACCATGAGGCCAATGATAAGTTTAAATCAGTTAGAGTTCAATGGCTGTGATAGAAAACTGAGGATGGATCAACAACATTGTAGTTACTCCACAATACTAACCTAAATGACAGAGTGAAAAGGAAGCTTGTACAGAATAAAAAAATATTCCAAAACATGCATCCTGTTTGCAATAAGGCACAAAAGTAAAACTGGAAAAATTGTGGTGAAGAAATTAACTTTATGTCCTGAATACAAAGCGTGGTTTGGGGCAAATCCATCACAGAGTACCACTCTTCATATTTTTATGCATAGTTGTGGCTGCATCATGTTATGGGTATGCTTGTCATCGGCAAGGACTAGGGAGTTTTTTTGTTGTTGATAAAATGAAACAGAATAGAGCTAAGCACAGGCAAAATCCTAAAGGAAAACCTGGATCAGTCTTCTTTCCAACAGACACTGGGAGACAAATTCACCTTTCAGCAGGACAATAACCTAAAACACAGGTCCAAATATACACTGGAGTTGGTTACCAAGACAACATTGAATGTTCCGGAGTGGCCTAGTATAGTTTTGACTTAAATCGGCTTGAAAATCTATCGCAGGACTTGAAAATGGCTTTCTAGCAATGATCAACACCCAACTTGAGAGCTTAAAGAATTTTTTTAAGAATGTGCAAATATTGTACAATCCAGGTGTGCAAAGCTCTTACATTCTTACCCAGAAATACTAATTGCTGTAACTCTAACATGTATTTACTCAGGGGTGTGAATACTTCTGTAAATTAGACATTTCTGTATTTCATTTTCAATAAATTAGCAAAAATGTCAAAAAACATGTTTTCACTGTGATTATGGGGCATTGTGTAGATGACATTATTGAATTCAGGCTGTAACACAAAATGTGGAATAAAAGCCAAGGACTACAAATATATTTACATTTACGTCATTTAGCAGACGCTCTTATCCAGAGCGACTTACAGTTAGTGCATACATTATTCTTTTTTATTTTCATACTGGCCCCCCGTGGGAATCGAACCCACAACCCTGGCGTTGCAAACGCCATGCTCTACCAACTGAGCTACCTCCCTGCCGGCCATTCCCTCCCCTACCCTGGATGACGCTGGGCCAATTGTGCGCCACCCCATTGGTCTCCCGGTTGCGGCCGGCTACAGCAGAGCCTGGATTCGAACCAGGATCTCTAGTGGCACAGCTAGCACTGCGATGCAGTGCCTTAGACCACTGCGCCACTCGGGAGACTTGAAAGAAATACTTTCAAGTCTCCCGGCACTGTACCTTAGTTTGCAGCCCTTCAATTTTGTTTTGTGACTGATTGTTTTGTATATTGGTATGCTCGGTCAGCAATATAACTTTAAAATGTTTGTATATTTGTCAAAACGATGCCAGCCTACACTGCAGGGGAAAGTCAACATGCTAATTGCCCAAACATGTTAAAATAAACAAACAAGTTGACAAATGTCGTCCTTCAGTTAATTTACATTCACAAGAAACAAAGGAATAAAAACAAGACGGTGTGGGTAGAGGTCCCAAGGTTCATTTAGAACTTTATTTCAGCTATACGTTTGTTTTAAAAGCACTTTTAAGTGACCAGCTTTCATGATACGTCATACATCAAACATTCATGCCTAAAAAAAGGAAAGAATACTACTGAAACCTTTAAATCTTGACAGGTATAAGTTTTGAACATAAGGTACAAAATAGGCCTTTATAACAACTAACAAGACAATACTACCATAAAGCAATATTAGTGCTTTTAGAATGTTAACGCAATCAGTGAAATAAAAACTAGTAGTAAAAAAGTATGAAGCTACTTTTCTTTCTTTCCTATAAAATTGCTTGTTTACATTGTCAAGCTGGTCAGCGTATACTGAGGTGAACAGCATTTGCTCCACACAGAGGGATTTGCTGTATTAGTGTCAACTTCACCAGTGGAACCATTTTTTCCTATCCCCAAAACACTGGTAGAAGAATACATGTAGAACCTGACAAAAAGGTCTCCCTTATCACCAATCTCACTATTGACTCTGAACATGTTTGACTTGCAGACAAAACAAGACAAAATAATGCTTAGTGTTTTTTTGCTTTAAGTCTATCAAACTAAAAGACACATTTCAACATTGAAGCAGGATTTGTGGGCGAGAGTGGGAGGCTACATTACATTATAGGTAAGGCTTTATAGAGATATACCTCTAAATCCTATTTGTGGGCAGCAATACAAAATAATTTACTCTACATTTTATCATCTTGGCTTTCTATTAGATTGTACACTCTAGCTCAATAAATGTGTGTTTATTAAAAAATGTAAGCAAATACATTTAAATTAAAGCAATACCAGGTTAAGAGCACCTTATCCCCAAACAACATTTAACAGGCAAATCATTTTTGGAAGCAATGGCACAGGAATAATCAATGGTTATTAGCGATGCTTATAAGAATTATAGGATGGTTGTATATCAGACAGGTAATACCACCTGTAGTCTTGGAACAGCTCCAAAGCAACTTGTGACGTACATGACATACTGTTTGGACAAATGCTCAATAATGTTAATTAATCCTCAGAAATGTCCAGCAGGTACATGATAGATACTATTCACTTAGAAGGAAGTAGGCTGAATGAAACACTGTCTTGACTTGCATCTATAGTGGGTCTACTGTACTTAAGAGTTAACAGTTGCAGACCAAAGGTGTTGCAATGCTAAACGTGTATTTCCTGGCCTGCCTGTGTTTCTCCAGAGAGAGGTTGGTAAACAAGGTACAGGTGATGAGGTGTTAGCTGGCGATTGGACTGCAGCCGTATCACCACCTTATCAGTCAGAGTTAAGGTGGACAGCCAAAGTCTTGACAAACAGAACAGCACTTTTGCTTTATGTTCAATCAGCAGTTTTTCTCCCTAGATAGCATGCTAACTAGTGCAAACCTGTCCTGTGCAGGTCTTAAACGGATACTTCGGGATTTTGGCAATGATGACCTTTGTTTACTTCTCTAGAGTCAGATGAACTCGTGGATACTATTTTTATGTCTGTGTCCAGTATGAAGAAAGTTAGAGGTAGTTTTAGCGAGCCAATGCTAACTAGCGTTAGCACAATGACTGGAAGTCTATTGGTATCTGCTAGCACGCTAGCAGATTACGCACAGACTTCAAGTCACTGCGCTAACGATAGTTAGCAATTGCGCTATCGCTAGTTAGCAACTTCCTTTAAACTGCACAGAGACATAAAAATGGTATCCACGAGTTCATCTGACTCTGGGGAAATAGATAAAGGGCCTCATTGCCAAAATCCCCAACATGTCACAACGACAACCCACCTCAAATATGCACGTGTAGCAGAAGACTGGTTGAACTATTAAAAGTGCTGGACATTGCATTTTTAGTATGTTTACAAATATGTCATCATATTGTAGCTATCATCATGAAATGTTGAGTAAACTCCAAAAGTACTGAATATCCACGTCAGTAGCTTCCATTACGAATAGGTTTGCATAAGAAATACAAAGATAATAGAATCAATGATAAATGGGCTTTAGGTTCAACAGGAGAGGCAGCCCTTCAACAGGAGAGGCAGCCCTTCAACAGGAGAGGCAGCCCTTCAACAGGAGAGGCAGCCCTCCAAACAGGAGAGGCAGCCCTCCAAACAGGAGAGGCAGCCCTCCAAACAGGAGAGGCAGCCCTCCAAACAGGAGAGGCAGCCCTCCAAACAGGAGAGGCAGCCCTCCAAACAGGAGAGGCAGCCCTCCAAACAGGAGAGGCAGCCCTCCAAACAGGAGATGCAGCCCTCCAAACAGGAGAGGCGTTGGGGAGGAGAGTGTGATGATGAGGAGAAGAGAACACTACATGATGGCTGATAAGCCAAACGCCCTCTACCTCCCAGGCTGTACACAACACACAGCAGAACCGGGGTCCTGTTTATTAGGCACCAAAACAGAACAAAACAGACAGAAACAGGGAGGGACTACCACAACTTGTCCAGTTACGTTTTATGTTGCAAAACATTTTGCTACAGTGTGCCCTAATGAATAGGACCCTGGAGATGGGACTAAGTGGCTCTGACTGCCCCCCCCCCCACCAGAAACAGGAAAACAACAGAGAGAGAGAGGGGAGGGGGAGGAGAAGAGCGAGAGAGAGATACGAGAGAGAGGCGAAAGGGCATTCTGAGGAGCATAGCAAAGAATCAAGAGACTACAGGCTTTCAGCTGAGCTACAAACACCAAGGATCTCTTTCAATACAATGTTTGATTGTTCTATAACAAGGTTTCCGTTTTTAAAAGAAGCCACATTGGTAATGCTGAAGTGCATGTTATGTTTTTCTGGTTGTAAGACGTTAAGACGCCCTACGCTGGGCTGGGCTGGCAGAGACACAGATGGGAGCAGTGAGGATGAGATAGATGGGAGAGCAGCAGCTGGTGTGGTTGGTTGTAGATTGGGGGTGGGGATTGTAGTAGGCCAAGACTGAAGCCTGGGACTCTAGTACAGAAGGATGCGCCTCTCGATGGCCTTGACATGGGGGGTGTTGTAGGCTGAGACTGAAGCCTGGGACTCTAGTACAGAAGGATGCGCCTCTCGATGGCCTTGACATGGGGGGTGTTGTAGGCTGAGACTGAAGCCTGGGACTCTAGTACAGAAGGATGCGCTTCTCGATGGCCTTGCGGCAGATGGGGCACTCGCTCATGCGGTCGCCACACAGCTGGCAGGTGCCGTGGCCACATATGAAGATCATGTTCTTTAGCCGGTCCAGGCACACCGGACACATGGTCTGGAGAGATACACAAAATAACACTTAGTTCTCATCTCTTAGTGGATTCATCCCAATTCTGATAAACACATTGTATTGGAAAAATTATTGATTGAGACATGGCTATAGATTCCAAAATAGTCTACAGGCATGTCTCAGGGCAAGGAAAAGGTGACTCATATCCACACACTATGTTCCTAAACATATTTTGTATACATATTTTTACACTAGTGGTTGGAATAATACTGTGAAAATTATGATAATGCCCTTTTAGTGCAAGAGCAGTTTGAAAATACTGCATTACATTTCAGCCTGTTTTGGTGGGATGGTGTAATCACCAGGCGGTAAATGAGTTAATAGACCAATAAGAAAGAGTTAAAAACCTCTCTGCCAATAACAGCTAGTTTTCTGTTTTTCCCCTCCCCACTCAGACCACTCCCAGACAGTCCTAATACAATTATTGCTTGAGAATATGCTCTTTGCTAACAAGCTATATTTGTTTATTTTTGACCATTTTAGTTTAAAACAAATCACAGTAAGGTACATAATTGTTACCCAGAAATGATTTGATATTTAGATAAAAACGGCTGCATTGGATCTTCAATGTTTATTGGATGTGCCTAGCACACACATACGGTTAACATTTATTACAATTCAACCAAATCTGAACTAAGTATATAACTCAAATGATGCATGGTGTTTGATGCTGTCTTTAGTACATACCACCATGCTGTCTTTAGTACATACCACCATGCTGTCTTTAGTACATACCACCACGTCGTCTTTAGTACATACCACCACGTTACATACCACCACGTCGTCTTTAGTACATACCACCACGTCGTCTTTAGTACATACCACCACGTCGTCTTTAGTACATACCAGCACGTTACATACCACCACGTCGTCTTTAGTACATACCACCACGTTACATACCACCACGTCGTCTTTAGTACATACCACCACGTCGTCTTTAGTACATACCACCACGTCGTCTTTAGTACATACCACCACGTTACATACCACCACGTCGTCTTTAGTACATACCACCACGTCGTCTTTAGTACAGACCACCACGTCGTCTTTAGTACATACCACCACGTCGTCTTTAGTACATACCACCACGTCGTCTTTAGTACATACCACCACGTCGTCTTTAGTACATACCACCACGTTACATACCACCACGTCGTCTTTAGTACATACCAGCACGTCGTCTTCAGTACATACCACCACGCTGTCTTTAGTACATACCACCACGTCGTCTTTAGTACATACCACCACGTCATCTTTAGTACATACCACCACGTCGTCTTTAGTACATACCACCACGTTACATACCACCACGTCGTCTTTAGTACATACCAGCACGTCGTCTTCAGTACATACCACCACGCCGTCTTTAGTACAGACCACCACGCCGTCTTTAGTACATACCACCACGCCGTCTTTAGTACATACCACCACGTCGTCTTTAGTACATACCACCACGTCGTCTTTAGTACATACCACCACGTTGTCTTTAGTACATACCACCACGTTGTCTTTAGTACATACCACCATGTTGTCTTTAGTACATACCACCATGTTGTCTTTAGTACATACCACCATGTTGTCTTTAGTACATACCACCACGTTGTCTTTAGTACATACCACCATGTTGTCTTTAGTACATACCACCATGTTGTCTTTAGTACATACCACCATGCTTACCTGCTCCTTGATGTCCTGCAGTTGCTGCTGCAGTTTCTGAACGTCAGCATTGACATTGGTGTTGTCTTTGTCTCTCTGCATGGCCGGGATGTTACCGCTGGCTGAAGAAGGGAAACACACACAACGTTGAGAAACTAACCAACAAATGCAGGTTCTCAAACTAGTGGCCGATTTATTGCGGCCTAGTGTGATAGCATGTGGGAGAGAGAAGGTGAGATGCCTTTCACTCTGTTGGTGGCAATGTCAATGCAAACCTCTCTTTACGATTGCATGTACTAGTAAGCCTTTCACTGTTGTATTCTGTGTATGTGTTCAATAAAATTGGAATAGATTTTAATGACATGCTGCTCTAAAGGCCAAACTAATCAAGCAATCATACAGCCTCGTCTATGTGGGCCATTTAACCCAGTCCGTTTTTTTAACAAGCAGGGATTTCAGAGTTCGACACCATGCAGTGTTTGGCTGAAACTGGTCTGAGGCCCCGTGCTCGAGGGCACAACCTGTCTGAATGGTGAAAATCACTGTCATTTGTATGTGTGTGATTCTGTGTGTGGTTTTGAGGGGTGGGCGAAGGATCGCTGCAGCAGGGCATAGGCCAGGCAGGGCAGACAGCGCTGGGGATTATTGGGGAGTTTTGAACCAGGGAAGAGGATGAGATACTTACACCAACTTAGCGCCAGATTGTTGGGCTGGAGCAGATCCAGTGACCCCCCTGCCATTAGAGCTGAGTTAGAGTTACCTGCTGAGAATAACCAGTCACAGTGTTATAACAGGAGCCCCTGATACAACTCCACAAGACAAGGCCTGAGGAGGAGCAGTCTACTCACTACTAAAGGCCTGGAGACAAAGGAGGGCAAGGACAATGAGGTTATTAGATCTAAAACAGATGTTGTTAGGTGGGAGGTGGGGGAGAGGAGTCTCTTCTAGGTAGAGTAAGGTGGATGGCTGCAACCGCTTCCTTCAAAGTCTAAAAACATTCACACTAAGTAGTATTACTAGAACGAAAGCTACCAGGACAAAAGCTGTTTGGGTCAGCAGTACTCAGCAGGTAACCTGACAACTATTAGTGCTCCCCACTAAACACTAGCTAACAGTGGGCTAGGAGAGTCGTCTAGGTTGGCACTGGAATCCCTCTCCAAATGTCCAGGGACATAGGGGAATGTGTGTGATTGACATAATGTACTTTGTATTTGAAGAGATCTGTGTGTGTGTGTGTGCGTGCGTTTGTGTGGCAACACACTGAAACACAAAGATCTGTCGACAAGCGAATCTTTGGCAAATCAATATAAAATCAGTGAACTTACAACAGTCTCCCTTTTAACTCAACATAAAATAATAAGGGAAACTAAATAAAGGGAAGTACGTGTAAGGTGCAGTCATAAAGGATGGATAATAACGTGATAAAAGACTAACTTAAAGACAACACTAGGGATGGTAAAAGTAACCCAAAATACACATTCACACATTGAAATACCCAACATTGTACCATCACTGCTTAGCTAACAGATTGGATGGAGAAATTGGATCGAGCAATGGACTGATGGCGATATTAAAATCAGTTTGCCAGGTAAGGGAGAATTAATAGCCGGTTATGGAGGTCAATTTCTGTTAATCAAATCAGTGCATGCTGCTGAAATGTTATAAAACTGACTTCATTGAATTGCATGTTATGATTAAAACACATTCCATCACACTAGGTAAGCCAGTTCTCGTCTGATTAAGTTAAAGATCATACATTTTGCATTAATGACCTCAACTAGGGTGGTTTGTTTCCAAGTCTGGGAAAATGACACATTCAACTGAAATACACAAAACAATGACAACATTAACATTCAAATAATGCAGGAGGAAGACGGCTGTGAATCAACAAACCAAAGCCGACACAAACAAACAAAAACACAACAAGTTCATCATGGGGGAAAGGAGGAGGTGGGGAGTCATGACAACGAGAGAGAAAGGAGGATAAAAAGGGAATTAAAAGGGAACATGTGGAAGATTCACTCACTAAGGTCCTCATCATCATCCTCATCATCATCATCATCATCAGCGGCATCACCCTCCATACCTTTCCCTCCACAACAAAGGACGAAGGGTGTGCGGCGTTCCACAACAGCCCGGCACTGTACGCACTTCTTCATGAGGCCGGCACAGTCTGCACGGAGGGAGGGAACACACACAGACAGAATAACAGGTCAGTATGGCCCCACTAGAACGCATCAAAGATTCTGGAGAATCGTTCAGTTCTTGCAACGAGGCAGGGTCGTAGGTAGGGCACACCGTAGCAAAACATTTTGCAACGGAGAAAAAAGGTAGTAGGCTACCTTCTCACTTCAAAACGTTTTCTCCCTACTGAGCACGCGCCAGGTGGCATACCGTATGAGGAAGCAACCTTAGTTGGTTTTGTGTACTTACTCTCACAAGCGCACATGTGACCGCAGGGCTCGAAGAGCACGGCAGCCTTCTTGTCAGAACACACGACACACTCCTCGATCTGAATGGAGACAAACATGTGATGTCAGTGACGGGAAAGAGAAGAGAAAGTCCTACCTCTGATTGGAGGATGTCTTTACACCCAAAACCAATGGAAAGCATCTATCAATGTACTAACTCATTAGTAACTTATACAACTTGATACTTACAGAGGCACCACAACAGTTGGCCTAAAATCATTCATTGACATCAATGGGAGACTTGATCGAAAAGCATGCAGATCTGAATACCGGACACAGATTAAGTTTAGTCCTGTACTAATAAGTTATTTCAATGGAGAGTCATCAGTTTTCAGTCCAAGACTAGATTTAATCTGTTTCTGAGAAACCGTCCATAAACGTTTATATTTAAACCAACGAGGCTGGGTTTGGTACAATACCTTGGTTCTGGACTGGACCTGGTCCTTGCAGATGAGACACTTCTTGACACGCGGGGAGCAGAGAGAGCAGGTGGCGATGTGTCCGCAGGGCCCGAACAGGGTGTCTCTCTTCATGTCAGAACAGACCATACACTCCTCCAGGGTTTCACTGTTGCTGTTCAGAGACGGGCTACGAGAGCCCACCTGGCCACTGGAAGAGAGAGAGGGATGGGGAGAGAAAAGGGAGTTTGTGAGAAAGAAAAGAAAGGACATAATAAAGGAAGATGGGGAGAAAACAAGTTGAAGCTCAACAGCTGATTAATCTAAAATAGTCTAAACCATGTCCTATTGTATGGGTTTAGGGGCTGGGCTGAGGGCTAGACCTGGGGCCGGGTTTCTTACCTGCTCTTCTCCTTGTGGCACTTGGCCAGGGCCTTACAGAGGCTGGGGTCGGGGCAGAGGTCCAGAGGGGACTGGCCCTTCTTGTTGCGCATGGTCAGGTCTGCTCCGTTAGCTGCCAGGAAGCAGGCGATGGACGCTGCACTCTTCTTCTCTGCTCCCTGGGTGCCCAGGCCCATGATCAGCTGTGGAGGACCAACACACACAGGAGTCAGTAACACTTTCTCTTTCTGTCTCCTTTTCTCTCTCTCTCTCCCTCTTCCCCCTGTCTCTCCCTCTTCCCCCTGTCTCTCCCTCTTCCCCCTGTCTCTCCCTCTTCCCCCTGTCTCTCCCTCTTCCCCCTGTCTCTCCCTCTTCCCCCAGCTCCACCAGACAGAGGAGAGCAGAGTGCAGCGGAGCATACAGTGTAATTGGGACGTGTGCAGTGTGTGAGGTAGGGTAGGGCGATATATCGAATTCATTAGATTAGTGCGATGTTCCAAATGCCTTTATCAAGATTAACTTTTTTCCTGTTTTTATGAGCGTTCTGTGTCTTATTGGTCTAGTCTCCTTCGCGCATTTTGTGCACCTTCCCACTCGTACACAGACACCAAGCCCCTACCCTTGCCACTTATAACAACAAAATAAGAAAGATAACTTCTTCCTCCCTGACAACAAGCCGTTTAAACTCGCCATTTGCATTAGAGGTTTGGTCCAACAGAATCGGTCACATGGACACCGAAACACTTAGACATTGTTTTACCTTTCTAACAATACCCTTTTCATGTCTCATCTCCCAAAATGAAGAACAGAGCAGACCCTCCTAAAACCAGAGTATCAATGAACATGATTGTGGAAAATTAATGCTCAGTTGTCACGCACGACTTTGAGGTAGCCACAGACTTATGTGCTGGCTGTATAGTCTGTTTAATAAATGTGCAATGAGCATAAAAATACACATTTAAATAAGAAATTGACAACTGGTTCTCATTCTGAGAAATAAGCATCTTATCCAGGTAGGCCACGTGATTTCAACATCTAAACAAAGTGAACAGGCTGTGTTGTTCAAACAGTTGGAGACAGACAGGAAGGTGTATTCATAACAGTTCAACATTCAACTGTTCTAATGTTAGCAAGTAAATAGATCCACGTTGGCTAGACTTGAAATATAAAGTGAAGCTGGCTACTCACTAGCACGTGGGCTTGGCTTGAGAGATTGTTTATGAGACCGGTGTTACATCTCTATAATGCCTGCTACCAGAAGTTGGTCATTATTAGTGGATGTGCATTGTGCATGGTTCTGTTTAAATGTGTAACAAAAAGGGCATTTTGATAGACAGACGAAAGCCTTATCAGTGATTGTTGCAAAAAAAAGCAGGTTAAACTATTTTGATAAAATAATTTAATTACTAGTGGGTTTTATGGTTGTGTAAGGCTTATATTTATTCTAGGTATAATTTCACAAGCTCTGAATTCATTAGATTATTCCTGACTGTTTGAAATTTGGTGAATTGACCTTTAATTGTGCAACAAAGCTTATTCAGAGAAAACTGATTATATATATATATATATATATATATATACATATACACTGTGGTCCTCTGTAGCTCAGCTGGTAGAGCACGGCGCTTGTAACGCCAAGGTAGTGGGTTCAATCCCCGGGACCACCCATACACAAAAATGTATGCACGCATGACTGTAAGTCGCTTTGGATAAAAGCGTCTGCTAAATGGCATAATATTATTATTATAATATATAATACACACACAGTGAAGGAAAAAAGTATTTGATCCCCTGCTGATTTTGTACGTTTGCCACTGACAAAGAAATTATCAGTCTATAATTTTAATGGTAGGTTTATTTGAACAGTGAGAGACAACAACAACAAATCCAGAAAAAAGCATGTCAAAAAAATTATACATTGATTTGCATTTTAATGAGGGAAATAAGTATTTGACCCCCTCTCAATCAGAAAGATTTCTGGCTCCCAGGTGTCTTTTATACAGGTAACGAGCTGAGACTAGGAGCACACTCTTAAAGGGAGTGCTCCTAATCTCAACTTGTTACCTGTATAAAAGACACCTGTCCACAGAAGCAATCAATCAATCAGATTCCAAACTCTCCACAATGGCCAAGACCAAAGAGCTCTCCAAGGATGTCAGGGACAAGATTGTAGACCTACACATGGCTGGAATGGGCTACAAGACCATCGCCAAGCAGCTTGGTGAGAAGGTGACAACAGTTGGTGCGATTATTCGCAAATGGAAGAAACACAAAATAACTGTCAATCTCCCTCGGCCTGGGGCTCCATGCAAGATCTCACCTCGTGGAGTTGCAATGATCATGAGAACGGTGAGGAATCAGCCCAGAACTACACGGGAGGATCTTGTCAATGATCTCAAGGCAGCTGGGACCATAGTCACCAAGAAAACAATTGGTAACACACTACGCCGTGAAGGACTGAAATCCTGCAGTGCCCGCAAGGTCCCCCTGCTCAAGAAAGCACATATACAGGCCCGTCTGAAGTTTGCCAATGAACATATGAATGATTCAGAGGAGAACTGGGTGAAAGTGTTGTGGTCAAGTGAGACCAAAATCGAGCTCTTTGGCATCAAAGATGCCGTGTTTGGAGGAGGAGGAATGCTGCCTATGACCCCAAGAACACATCTGTGGAGGGAGCTGAAGGTTCAAGTTGCCAAACGTCAGCCTCGAAACCTTAATGACTTGGAGAAGATCTGCAAAGAGGAGTGGGACAAAAGGGGTTTTGCCACCAAGTACTAAGTCATGTTTTGCAGAGGGGTCAAATACGTATTTCCCTCATTAAAATGCAAATCAATGTATAATTTTTTTGACATGCGTTTTTCTGGATTTTGTTGTTGTTATTCTGTCTCTCACTGTTCAAATAAACCTACCATTAAAATTATAGACTGATCATGTCTTTGTCAGTGGGCAAACGTACAAAATCAGCAGGGGATCAAATACTTTTTCCCCTCACTGTATTGTGAATCACCCATAAATTTGAAAATATTTCTATATGAGTTTTAGGCTATATCGACCAGCCTTAGTGTAGGGCTATACAGGCTGAGGCTGGCTCACTCTCCCATAGTGTCACTTTACAAAATGACAATTGAATTAGCCGCCCTCAGCACAGATGTAAGAGCCACCACTTAGAAGGGGTATCAGACATTTCAGGATAAATTACTGGGGGATTAATCCCTTACTGTGTTTTTGGAGGGTTCAAGCGGTATGTAGGTATGTTAGGTGTTTGTGGAGGGTTCTAGAGGTATGTATGTATGTTAGGTGTTTGTGGAGGGTTCTAGCGGTATGTAGGTATGTTAGGTGTTTGTGGAGGGTTCTAGAGGTATGTATGTATGTTAGGTGTTTGTGGAGGGTTCTAGCGGTATGTATGTATGTTAGGTGTTTGTGGAGGGTTCTAGAGGTATATTAGTTGATTTAGGATGGTTTTAGAGGTATATGTAAGGTGTATTCTCTACCGTGTTTTTGGAGGGTTCCCAGGGCTCCACCTTGCTGACGTCTTGCATGTCCTGCAGCTGGCGGAGCTGGGACAGCGTGTGGTGACGCAGCGCCTCGTGGAGAGGAGTGTCCCCGTCCTTGTCCTGCACGTCCAGCTTTGCCTCTGCTCGCACCAGCAGCTGGGGACAGACAGACACAGAGCATTCCAAATTAACATAGAGATCATTTAAAATGAGAATTTATTTGCAGAACAGTCCAGTACTATTTTTAATTTTTTAAACGATCACCATCCAAATGAGTCTAGCATGGCATCACAGCTAGAGGTCCTGCATATTGTAGTCCCCTGTAGCTCAGTTGGTAGAGCATGGCGCTTGCAACGCCAGGTTTGTGGGTTCGTTGTGGGTTCATTTCCCACAGGGGGCCAGTATGAAAATGTATGCACTCACTAACTAAGTCGCTCTGGATAAGAGCGTCTGCTAAATGACTAAAATGTAAATGTATATTGACTGTGTTCCTGCACCACTCTGAAGCTGCACTTCTCCACCACTCCACAAGATGGCGGCAGCGTAACAACCTTTCCCTGATAGGACACCCATTACTTCTCTCATGTTTCTCTTCCAGAAAGCATTCTCCTTTCCTTGGCACTACGTCAGTTTGGCCCTAGCGGGTTAATTCTACTGCAGGAGATCCTCCATTTTAAATCATACATGGTTGCTGTCTTCATCTTCTCAACAGCCTTTAGTGCACTGTCAGGAGTGAGAGACAGATGGGGAGATAACTGCAGATAGCATCTTCAGTTAGCGGAAGGAGAGAGGGAGTGAGGAGAGGAGACTGACCCTGACTATCTGTGTGTGCTGTCTCTCCACGGCCAGGTGCAGGGCTGTCTGCTGGTTGACGTTCTGGATGTCCAGGCTGGCACTGCCCTGAGAGTGGGAAAGCGAGGGAAAACAGAGAGAAGAGAGACTGCGTTGGCATTCAAATATTCCTGTATGAACTCTGCAGTAGTCTATAACACACATTCTGCAGTGCACCTCCTCCTGTATTCTCACAACGTTTCTAGAATGTTACAATAACATCTCTTCTCTCACACTGTTGCCATACAGCAGCCTCATTAGCCCAGTTCCTGCTCTGCTTGGTGGGATGCTACTTACTACATTATGGCCCTGTTAGATAGAGAGGTCTGCACCAATACTGTCATCTTAGATGGGAAATAGACTGAGCATGATCCTATGACGAAGCAGGTTATAGGCTAACAGTGCTTGTGAGCCACTAGGGACCCAAAGGACAATATGGATTCAATAAAAAATAAAAGCAGTTATTGCTCTCCTATACTGGCACAAACCTATACAGCATTGACTATTAAGAATAAGGCCAGCACTTACTGTGTGTGTGCGAGCCAAGATGGAGACACTAGGGCTGCTACGGACCATCTGTATGAAACCAGTGGTGTCAGTGGTTAGCTTAATGTGAGTGGGTTCTACCTGGTGCACCAGCAGCTCGGCCACCTCTACGTGGTTATTGAGCGCCGCTAGGTGCAGGGCGGTGTAACCGTCATCTTTCTTCTCATCTACGATCCAGGGCCGCGGCAGCTTGGACAGCAACACACGCATGGCACTGCCCAGAGAGGGAGGAACAGAGGGAGAGAGGGATGAGTGGAAGGTGACTGCAGGTGCATGACAACAGGAACCTAGGACGGAAGGAAGGTCATGGCGCAGTATGAAAAATGTATGCACTCACTAACTGTAAGTCGCTCTGGATAAGAGCGTCTGCTAAATGACTAAAAAGTCAAATGTAAATACAAGTGTTGAGTGTAATTGTAGAACCCACGTCCTCAAGTCAAACCCACTTAAAGAGGAGAACGTCTTCCCCTGGTGAAGCAGCACAAAAGCCCCCGTTATCGAGAGGCAAACTGGTAATTACACCACAGTTAGCTGCATTGTCAGTTCTCATGAAGTGTGTGTGTGATATTGTTTAAACAGGGTTGTTTAAGAGTGGTGTGTTGCGAGGCAGCAGCAAGTAGTTGTGTTCCTGTTTGAAGGTCATTTGGAGGCTACGTGCCTTAGAGAGATGGCTGCTGCATGGGAAACTGTATGACATGAGAAGAAGGCAAGGAGTAGAGTGTCTGACTCGGGACTGGAATAAAACTAATTGACAATCTTCACAGCACTCGCAATGGACAGCTGACTGACTATGATGCCACACCACAATGGAAAAGAGAGAACATCAGAGAGAGCAAAATGATCGTGGAAAACTCCCTCAATATAGTATATGGGCAGAACATATTTGAACGTGGGAGGGAGAGAGACAGGTAGGAGAGTGAGGGGGTAGAGAGTGAGAAAGGGTAGAGAGTTAGAAGGAGAGAGGGGAAGAGAGGTAAAAGGAGAGAGAGAGAGTGAGCGAGAGAGAGGAAGAGAGGTAAAGGGGGAGGGAGAGAGAGAGAAGGGTAAAGGAAGGAAAAGATAGAGAGCGAGGGTAAGAGTAAAAGAAGAGAGAGTCGAGAGAGAGAGGAGAGGTCCTAGGGAGGTCCCTTGTCTTTCTCCTTCCTCTCTTTCCCCCTCTGTCCCCCACGCTCGCTCTTTCCTCGTGGCCCCCTCCGGGTCCTCCGGGGCCCCTTTCTTTCTTTCCTCTCTAAATGCTTTCCCCGGTCTGCTCCAGAAGCGAGCTTCATCCTGGTTTACCTCTGTTCGCGCCCGTACCTCGCGCTCGGCCCTGTCGCTCGACGCGTTCATTCCGCTCGCGCGGTCCCCACTGCGCGCGCGCTCTCGCTTCCCTTCCGCCCGCTCCCCCGGCTCGCTCGTCGCGCGCGCTGCCCTCGGTTCCTGCCGCTCGGTCGGCGCTTCCGCTCGGTCGGCGCGGGTCGCGCGTTCCTCGCTGGCCTCGCTGTCTTCTCTCCGCTCTCGGCCCGCGCTCCTCGCTTCGGCTCGGGGACTCCCTTTCCTCGCGCTCTCTCTCGCTCGCTCGCTTTTTTGATGTAAACGCAGAGAGGGTTTCTCGGTAAGGCGCAGAAGGGGTAGAGAGGTAGAAGACATGCAGGCAACAACCTCCCTGCTGAGCAGACTGGGTCTTCCATTCTGTCCCATCATGGCAACTTCCTCAGCAACCCAACACTCATCCATTATCTCTCGTCTCCTCTCCTCCTGCCCTGCCCAGCCCTGGGTAAGCAGCCTGGGATAGAAGTGAACAGCCCCCTGACCAGTCCAGTGGGTCTCATCCCAACACCCACCGCATGTAGTGAGGCAACACTAACCTACCTACTACAGTCAACCAGGTCACTATTGTAAAAAAAGACTAAAAACAGCTATATCAAGGTTAATGTCTACTGACTTTCTGTGGGGAGGCTTGTCACCTTAGCCAGCCCTAGGTTGCATCTTTGAACGGCGACAGAAAAGCAGCCGCCAATTTCACAAGGGTTATGACACTGCTGAACAGCTCTGGGAAGGCACTGGAGCAAGCAAACACACACACCAAAAGAGTGCAGTAGATGCTAGGTAGATATTAGGCACTTATACACATGTAGTAGTGAAACAAAAAGAAAGGGAATGATAGAACAAGAAAAAAAGGAGAGACGCGCACATTAACACATGCGCTGGGAGTAGAGAAGGCTTTGGGGCTCAGAGCTCTCTGGAGTACTGGTTAGCTGCAGGGTGGAGCTCTCTGGAGTACTGGTTAGCTGCAGGGTGGAGCTCTCTGGAGTACTGGTTAGCTGCAGGGTGGAGCTCTCTGGAGTACTGGTTAGCTGCAGGGTGGAGCTCTCTGGAGTACTGGTTAGCTGCAGGGTGGAGCTCTCTGGAGTACTGGTTAGCTGCAGGGTGGATTCTGATAAACCCACAGTCTCTCTCTCCCACTCTCTGTAGAGTAATAAAATACCCTCCTAGCTGCACAGAGCAGAGCTGGCTGCTGTACTACTACAGTGCTGCGCTGCAGAACACACTGAACCCCAGTCTCTCGCTCTTTCACCACACAGCGGCTATGTCTTAGGTACACCTGCATTGCATGCAGCTTAAATGTGACCAGCTGCAACTCTGGTTCTACCTCATTCCTAAACAGTCAAAACACGTCACTGCGAAATAGTACAGTAGTTGCTAGGTAGATCTTTTGATCACATGGGACACAAATCATTCCCCTCAAAATGTTTACAAAATTAGTAAACTTATAATTGAGTAATGAATCTGCCTGCTGTATTGACTTCTACTCCACAGGATTGTGTTGACATTTGAGTTGAGAGAGAAGACAAATGTTCTCAACCCAATATATTTCTACAGCGTGACATTAAGAGTCAACATGACTACTAGTTTTCACCAGACCCACTTGCAACCGTCCCATGCAAAAGCTTTTGTCCCCCCCCTCCCCCCCTTGTTCTTAGGATGTTTGAAAAATACCCTCAACAGACAACCTAACCTATGACAGCCCTGCTTGTGTCTCTAGTCCCCCACTATAGTGACTCGGGCCTGACAGCAGACCGGCCCTCTGCTGTTTCCTAGGTGGTACTGCGGAGCGAGAGAGGCGAGCCGCTCCAGTAACAACAAGCCGGACCATAGAGATGGATAGAGGACGCACTTGCACACTGCATGGGCAGCGCCATTCAGAGTTTTCACAGAAGGCATCAAAGCAAAGATAGGTGTTCCCTCTTTCCATCTCTATGAGTCTGACTAGATTGACAGGCTTGCCACGCTGGGTGAAATGGGTGGACATTAATATTAATGCCTCAGCCACACTGCCTGCCTGGCTGGCACTGCTGCAATGCAGTTAGCTATTTGCCAGAAATACAATAAAAAAATGAGGGCAGAATGAATGAAGAAAATAGTTTCTTGGCTGTGAGTGAGTTTTAACTGCAAGAAAGGGGGGCTGTGGGAAAATGTGGGGGGGGAAAAGAGAAGGCTAGGGGGAAAGAGAGGCATAGGAGAGAAAAGAAAGGAACCCTGGGGAGAGAGCGAAACTAGGGAGAAGGAAAGAAGGCTGGGGAAGAGGAAAAGAAGGGGGAAAAATGGAGGCATGGGGGGAGAGAAAGAAAGGCATAGGGGAGAGAAGAAGCGAGAACTGGGGGGGGGGGGGAGAGAGAAGGGATGGGGGAGAAGGGGAAGGGGCGAGAAGGCATGGGGGAGAGAGAGCAAAAGGCATTGGGGGGAGAAGGGCGGGGAGGAGTGAAAGGGGAAATTAAGGGGGAAGGAGAGAGATGGGGAGAAGAGAAGGAGAGAAGGGTGGGAAGAGTAAGGCATGGGGAAAGGGCGGAGGAAGGGGCTGGGAGAGAGCCGAAAGAGGAAGGGAGGGGGAAAAGAGCGAGAGAAGGGGCATAAGGGGGAGAAGAAGAGAGGAGGCATAAAGGGGGAGGGAGGGGGAAAAGGGGGGGCTAGGGAAGAAGGAGAGAAAAGGCATAGGGGAAAAGAGAGGAGGAAGGGAATTGGGGGCATAGGGAAGGGGGGAAAGGTAGGGAAAGAGGAAAGGGGATGGGGGAGAAAGGAAGGGGGAGGAAGGCAAAAAGGGGAGAGAAGGAAGGGGGAGAAAAAAAAGGCCCTTAAAAGAGGAAGAAAAAAAGGGGTCCTTTGGGGGGTGGGTTTGGGAAAATTTTGGGGGGTCTTTTTTTGTTTCCCCCGGGGAAAAAAAAACCCCCCAAAAAAAAAATTTTTAAAAAAAAAAAACCCCTAAAAAAAAAATGGGGGTTTCTGGGGGGAAAAAAACCTTTGGGGGGGGGTTTAAATTGTTAAAGGGGGT